AACAGCAGCAGCAATAGCAGCAGCAACAACAGCAGCAGCAAAAGCAGCAACAACATCAGCAACAACAGCAGCAATAGCAGCAGCAGCATCAGCATTAACATTAGCAATAGCAACACCGATACAGAACAACAATAATCAATAAGAAAAACAAAAGCAACAACAATGACAGCAAACACATTGTCTTTATGTCTTTATGTATCTAATCGCGTCCTCGGGGATCAGATATGTTGATAGAGTGTCATTCTTTCCTAAACTTTACCAGTTAGAGAATGATAAATACTCAATACTAGTCTGAATTTCGTTCGCAGAAACTTGAAATAGCCATTTTCTACATATTCTTTCATTSTAATAATTTTGCTTTTTCTAGTTTCAATCTTACAGAAACTAAAGATATAGAAAAATATGYTAAAAACGTACAATATATGAAATGCTTTTTCTTATGCAGTTTCGAATTATCTGTTGTTTAAGGTTAACCTCGTATTTCAAGATTTGACTGAAATGTTCACCTGTTCCAGTGGAATTTCCAAGTGTTTCTGCTGTTGAAGTTGTGCATTTTTTTACTTTATAATTGGTATTTGTAAATTAGGCCCCGTCCACACGTATCCGGAAATTTTTGTATCAGCAAAATTTTTTTTGCTGATACGAAAATATTTGCGTCCACACGCAGCGTATTCGAATCGTTTTCGAATCGTTTTCGCTGTCCACACGTATCCGGAATTTTCTTGATCCGCCCTGATACACGCTAGTGCCTAGTCCCTTTGACGGATAGTTTTTCTTATTGAGCATGCGCAAATCGTGTTTACGTCAACGTATTCGAAAATTTGCGGATACGACCGTCCACACGTAYCCGTATTCGGAGCGTATTCGAAAATTTCCACTCTGGAGACCGTTTTCGAAAATTTCCGGATACGGATACAAAAATTTCCAAACACGTGTGGACGCAACCCGCATCCGCAAAAAAAGAATTTGCGGATACAAAAATTTCCGGATACTCRGCATCATTAAGGCATGGCTCTCAGATGAAAAACTGTTTGGCTATATCATAGCCAGTTTTCTACGAATCTTCCCCAAACTTGGCAAGTTAATGTCTTTTGTGAAAAGAAGGAACCTTAGAGCCTTGGCTACCA